ACACACACACACACACACACACACACACACACACACACAGTCTATCTCACACACACACACACACACACTGTCTCTCTCTCTCACACACACTCACACACACACACACACACACACACAGAGTCTATCTCTCTCTCACTCACACACACACACACACACTCACATACAGAGTCTATCTCTCTCTCACTCGCGCGCGCACACACACATACACACACACACTCACATACACACAGTCTATCTCTCACTCACTCACACACACACAGTCTCTGTCTCTCTCACAGACACACACACACACACACACACACTCTCTCTCTCCCTCTCTCTCACACACACATACACTCTCTCTCACGCACACACACATACAATACACACACAACACACACACTCATAAATTGAGGTCTTGTCACTGCTGAACTTCTTAAACTCACTAAATTGTAGAGTAACTTTAGCATCCTTAACAAATAAGGTAAAACTCATAAAGTACTGAATCTTAGTCTGAATGAATGTGTTTCAGTAGTGTTAATTTCCACCCATTTCCTTCTGGCCCTTTCTTCAGGGATTATACGATATGGCAACTGAGACCTGACTTGGGTTCTCCTTAAGTAGATACTTTCCATGAATTCAAGGGCCCATTGTTTCTCTTGTTAAGAATTTATGAAACTGGTGTCTTGCCTGTTTTAGTGTTTGTTCAAAACCTTGGAAATGTCCCTCGGCATTAGCTGCCAATTTAATTCTGTAAATTTTGGTCTCATTAGTTTTTACTTTTGATCACCCATTCTTCAAATGTAAGCATTGCATGATGTTATCCCTTGCACCTCAGTTGGTGATCTGAATTTATAGGGAATACCTCTGGGTATTCCTCGGGTTTGTAACTTGGAAAAAATGTCCTCCAGGATGTGTCAGTCCAGGCCAGTGTATGTTGTCTTCAGCTGTGAGCCTCTTGCAGTACATCTTCCTTTGTACAGTTCCCTTTGTTGATCGTAGGGACTACTGTATTATTTATTGCAAATCCATGGGCAATTTAATACATAGTTTTATAGTAATTTATGAGAACGTTTCTGATTGCGGATTTCTTAGGTCCTACTTGCACAGGCATCAGAAGAACAGCAATGAAAAGTAGCTACCATTCACAGACACCATTTTGCTCCCATGTAGTTAACCCAGAGGAAGCTAATTATTATTTTGCAGGTATGTTATCCCCTTTATCCCCCATGATTTTCTCCCCTTTCTATTGTAGGTGGGAAGGGGGAGAATGGACAGGCTTTAATTCTTCCCACATGACTGCCTGCTAGTGAGAAGCTATTAGGGGAAACACAATTGCAACCTGGTTAAGACCTCTTCATTCAACTTTGACTGATCCAGCAGAAAACACTGTGGCATTTGCTCAGCTTGCGTCCTATTTCTGCTTGGTGTAATGCCCTGCCACTCCAGTGCAATTCTGCTGATAGAGGCAGGTACAGTTCCAACATTTAAAAGACATTTAAACCGGTACATGAATAGGCAAGGTTTAGAGGGATATGGGCCAAATGCAGGCAAATGGGACTATTAGGAACCTGGTTGGTGTGGATAAATTGGGCCAAAGTGTCTGTTTCCATGCTGTATGACTCTATGACTCCTCCTTAAGAGATTGCTAATGTCAAAACCACATGTCAAGCCTTTGTGCAATCACTGATCAAGTTATTTTGTTTTGTTTCTTTAATCATTTTTGAGAAATCATTTAAAAGGTTATTGAAACAACTTCCTTTCGATAATGATAGGGAAATAGGCAGAAATGGAAATAGGCAGAAATAGAAATGTTGCTCAGGATTCCTTACCACTGGGACTGTGAGGTGGAATAGATGTGCTCTGTCTTTGTAAAAGTTGCATCTCGTGTACGATGTACTTAACCAAGCAACTAATACAGCGTGACTTGAGCTGTGTCCCAATCTTTTATACTGACAAGCTTGGAACACTCTACAAAGCTCCAGAGTTCAGATTCTAAGAACCAAAAACCCAAGTTGAGGCCATTTTTAGCAGCTGGTGTAGCTACTTCTGCATCACGTTGAAGCCTTACTGCAAGTGCTATTGGTTAGTCAGACATATTTTGTAGAAGGTTAATCTGGACGAGGGGGTGATGAGATATTCTGTAAAACGGGTGCCTATAGGATTAACATTGTGCATGTTGTGTTGCTGTGACTGCATGTTTGTTTTTGTTTCCTCCTAAATGCATCTTGCCCGGGCGTTCCTCGTGCTGCTCTCTACTAACCAACAAACTAAGGAAAAGAACAAAGCACATGAAGGCGCTCGCCCAATGAGGGCCATCTTTACGTCCAACGGTAAAGTCTTCACCACAGGATTCAGCAAGATGAGCGAACGGCAACTGGCCCTCTGGGACCCGGTAGGAGCTGGTTCATCATTGGCTGGTTGGTGCTGGGGCGGGAGGGGTCTGTGGCAACAGCCTGGTACACAACACAAGCAACGGACAAAGCCAAACACATCCAAACAACCACTTGGCAATAAATGGAGCCGAATATGATCAAACTCCTGAGTAGAATCCCTCATTTGCTTTTAATTTCACTTCTGGCATTGTGCAGTTTCTTTGCATTTATTGGTGAAATAGCACAAACATTCTGGTTACTGGTAGACCAGTTGTGACTTTGTTTGGTTTAATTCTTCCTATTTGTGCTTTTGCTGATCCACCACGTGATCTTTGCAGAATTCCTGATCCCTTTTCTCCACTCGTCCCCCACCCAACTGTTTGCCCACCTCCCTGTCTTTGGTGGAGATTGGCCAATATGATAATTGGATCAATCTCTTGAAAGCAATAAATACTGACTAAAGTGACTACTCATTCCAGACCTGTTCTGTAGCTCATGCTTCTTATCGGTGGAATTGTTACTGAGAATGTTTCTTCCTTCGCCTTGACCCGTTGCTCCTGATACAAGTTTGATCATATTCAGCATTTATTTTGACAGGCTCCTTGGAACTGGGCTGTACCGTTAAAGAAACAAATTGAGTAATTTGTTATCAAACCAGATAGTTTGGCTCACAATGCTGTAAGAGTTCTGTGTTCTGTCCCAGCTGGACACCTTGCTAAGAGAAAGTGGGAAGAACTGTTTCTATCTCAACCAGAGTTCCTCTTCACAGGCCAACTAATCCACTTTGTTAAAATGATAACATTGACAGCAAGCAAATTTCTTTACAGAGAAACATATGCATGGGGTTCTATGCACTGCATACACTCCTAGAACGAATTGGACTTGTATCAAAACATGAGCTGGTATTCTTATTGTTGGCCAGGAGGAGGAGTTCTAGGGCTTTCTCTCTCACAATGGGAATATTTGCTTCAGACCTCCTGGAGGTTTCAGGATTGAAAGTGAATCCTTTGATTTCTGTCTGAAGCGAAGCTTCCCCAAATGGTTATACAGTTGTTCTCTTGTTGTTTTAATTATCGCTTTCTTCTTCAGGAGAAACTGGCCCCCCATGAAGGCATGAGGCCGATGAGGGCCGTTTTTACACGGGAGGGAAACATCTTTACCACAGGATTTACCCGAATGAGTCAGAGGGAGCTGGGGCTATGGGACCCGGTAGTATTCAATGACTGCAAAAGGTCTAGGCCAATGTGCATCATCCATTAGCAACATCTTCAAATAGGATTATTTTTCAGAATATACAATCTTTAAGCCAAACAGCAAAATTTAAAAAAAGGACGGAAGTGGGCATGTATGATGGAATATATTAATATAATGATATTGATTAAACATCTATAGCTATGCATTGTCTTTGTTGTTTCAACCAAACCTTGGTTTGGTATAAAGACCGCAAGAACTGCAGATGCTGAAAATCGGAAACAGAAACAGGAATTGCTGGAAAAGCTCAGCAGGTTTGTCAGCATCTGTGGAGAGAAATCAGAGTTAACATTTCTGGTCAAGTGACCCTTCCTCAGAACTGATGGTAGCTAGGAATATTTCAGTTTACCTGATTGGTTGATGTAGTATGGAGTGGATACAACAAAACTAAGAACTGGAAGGTGCCATGGGATAATTGATGTATCTCGCTCTGGCGCTCTTTCTAGTATGTTCAGGAATACTAAGATTTGTTGCAGGATATTCATGAAAAGAAAAGAGAGACAAATTTGGAAAAGCTGTGCCAGCTGTAAGAACAGCTCGTATGCTAGCGTGATGTACCTTTTTCCTGAAAAATTTGATGACTGTAGCTATTTTTGTTAAATTGTCACCCTGAGGCTTAAACCTGACCACGCAGAACCCGCAGGGCTCTGAATTCTAGCATAGATGTTTTCTAATCGAGCTGTTCATAGATGTTATTACACAGGCCTCGACTTGAACCCAGGCCTCCTGGCTCAGAGGTAGGAACACTACCACCACACTAAAAGGGCACCAAAAGGACACTACACTGGAGAGCGTCTGTCAAATTAACATAGCTTAGTATTAAGTCGGGATGATTTTTGTGTCATCAAATTAAAAGGAAGGCTTGCATGCAACACATACTAACATTTCAAGGGAAAGCTGGGACTGAAATGGTGTTAATCTGTTCTAGTCCAGTGCTCTCTCCTATGGTTACTGCTTCCTGCAGTTTGACTGGCATTGTTTCATAGAAAGTGGTCCCATAGGCTTCAAGACCAAAAGTACTACCTCATCTCTTTCCCCCAGTATACGAAGTCATTTGTCAGTGCAGGATTCTCATAACCTCAGTATTTGATATTATTTCTGTAAGACAATCTTTAATAAAATTAAGAAGTGTGGGATAACCCTAGAAATACTGTTTGATCAAGAGCACATATCCCTTTTTGCTTCTAACCATTTGAACAAAAAATAAATCACTTCTGATCTGGATGATGATCAGATATTGTTAATGGTGAATTGCTGCTACATGGATGATGCACAGGCCTGGCCTCTGGAGTGAAGTGTGGATTGCATGCGTGTGCCTTTCTCAAAAAGGGGAAACAAGCACACGGGCATGATAATAAAGTGACACATTGTCACCTCTAACAAGAATATCAAAAGAGTTATTGTTTCAACTGAACCAAGTGTGAATGCAGGCAGCTGCAAACTAAAGAAAGCAGCCAGATTATTCACATAGAGATAACAAGGTGTAGAGCTGGATGAACACAGCAGGCCAAGCAGCATCAGAGGAGCAGGAAGGCTGACGTTTCGGGCCTGGACCTTTCTTCAGAAATT